GGCAGGTGAGCGACGAAGTGGTCGTGGTGGTTGCGTGCCATGGGGCTGTGGTACGACGACTTATGGGCGGCACAGTAGGCCCATGGCCTACCAGCATGCTCAGCTTGTCGATGGTCGTGGGGGAGGTGACGCATATTGGTGCCGCATTCACCAGATTGCAGCGAGTATTTGTAACGCCCCGGATACAACTTGCCATATTTGTAACTCCGACTCTTTCCATTTTCGGCTTTAAATTACGATATTTCCTTCGTGGTTGGGTTTTGTCTTTATTTTTCTTTTTGTTCATGTCATGCATTTCATATCATTTCATCATGTGCATCGCATTTGCATTCGTGTTCGTCTCATGCATCCGAGCATTTTCCCCATTGTCCGTTTCGCAACCCGACACTCCCACGTGCACCGGCGCACCCCTCTTGTCTCTTTTCATGAGCGGGTGTTAAACGTTCTCGTAATGGACCAAGATTTGCCAAGTGGCCTTGGTACACCACCGGTAGACCGCGTATCAAATTTTGTTCCATTTGGAGGCCGTTTGATGCTCCAACGGTTAACCGGATAACCGCAAAAGCCTCTTTGTGTTGCAGCCCAACACCCCTCCAAAACGGCCCAATAACCCATCTAAATCTTCTCCATGTCCTCCGTCATCGGATCACGATCGTGTGGGCGAAAACTACACCTCATTTGGACATTCCTACCTCCCTCTACCTATATATATGTGATCCGCTTAGAATTTTTCGCGCAGTCCAAACCCTAGCACCGCTCCCCTCGCGCCGCCGGACGTTTCTTCCTTCGCCGCCGGACATGTCCGCCCTCCACATCGCTCCAGCCAATCCCGTCGTGCCACCTCAGCTCTGCCGTCTCCCGCGGCCAACCCAGAGGCGCCACGTGTTGCCGTCGTCCCCCACCATCGTGCGGGCCCGCGAGCCCAGAGCAGGCCCGCCGGGCCCGGTCGTCGCCGCCCGCACCGCCCGGCTCCCCGAAGCCTTCGCGCCGCCCGAGCACGCCTCGCTCCTCCTGCCGACGAACCTCCCGCAGCGCCCCCGCAGCGCCCCCGCATCGCCCAGCCAGCTGTCGCCCGCCTCGCCGGCCCCGCCGCCTCGCCATATCCGGCCTCCTCCCCTCGCCGGAGCGGCTCTCCGTCGCCGGAACCGCCATGGCCGCCGGCTGCCCAGCCGCCGGGAGTCCTCCGTCCCTGGACGCCGTCGTTCCCCGATCCAAACGGTGCTGCCCGCGTCCGGGATCCCGCTATCCCGCTCGGCTCCGTCCAGTTTTTCGTCCACGGGGTATGATTTTCCACTGTCTTTTCCCTAGTTTTTTTATGCCTCCTTCATCGCATCATATCTCGGTGTCCGTGGGTCCAAATCATGCATATGATATGTCGAATTGTTTATCACATTGAGCTCTTCATGTTAGAAGCATTTACATGCATGTTACTGTCTGTTATGATGTCATTTTCATTGATGAAAGAGTGCTATAAAATGTTAGCTGCTGGTGATTACCAGACCACGAGGTTTTGTCATTTTTGTTGCATTTGATGTGTGCATCGTATGAGTATGAGGTCTACATGTGCTTTGAACTACATCATGCCATCTTTACAGAGGTGCTTGTCTTGTATTTTTGTGATCAATGTGGTGACTAGCACAAGCATGCAAACTAGGCTTCATGATGTTGCTGTTTTCAGGAACTTAGCATTTTGCTAAGTCTTTTTCCTGTTGTTATTTTTTATGCCATGTAAACTTGATGCGACATAGTGATCCATGCTTATTTTGGGATACTTAAGTAAGGGTGTTTTGAACATGTGGTTATGCTCTATCCATCAATGCCCCCGTTTACAATTATGGAGTCCTCTAGTATGTCTTGTTCTTGCTCTACTTTTGCTATAAAATGTTCCAGGCAGAATGTTAACGTGTTAATCAATTTTGCCATGGTTGTTGCTAGTGATTCATGCATCCCATTAACTTGATCTTGCCATGGTTAGCTTCATGAACATGTCATCTTGCTATTGGTATGCTTATATTGTCATGCAATACTTTGTGGTGAGTGACATGAGCTCGCAAAGTTGCCTTCACAAATCTGCTTATGCCATGCTCTGTTTTTCTGCCAAGTCTGAAACTGTTAATAAAACTTGCTATGTTTACATGGGTGCCAACATATCTTCTATGCCTTTCTGGCTCATGATCAGTAAGGGAAGTTTGATCTATGCATTTAGTAGAATCATGCCATGCCTTGTTTTGCTATGATATGTTCCTGTAGCATTTTGTTTGCTTGCTCTAAACTTTGCTTCCTGATGTTATTTTGACATGTTAGTATTTTCACTAAGTTTGTGAAGCTGATATCTTTTGCACTTTTGCCATGCTTGTTTGAACCTGTTCTAGTGTGTTTTAGCCATAGCTCAGTGTTCATGTTTTGTCAAGCATCTCTTGTGCATCACTGCCATATGCTTTGTTGCTATGTTGGAGTGTAGTAGCTTAGTTTCTTGTTGCATTCTAGGTGGCATCGTGCTGTTAATCACAGTTTTACGTCATCCTTGTTTTGCATGCCATTTGCAAACCGTGCATCCGCTTCCGGTGATCTCTATATCGATTTCGACCAAAATCACCTCATCTTTTCAGCGGCATACTTGGTTTGCCAAGTTAATGTATTGATCATTCTTTCCCTTCCGAAGCACGCATATGCATTGCATATCACATCTCGCATATCATGCCATGTATTGCATCATGTTGCTTGTGCATTGCACCGTGATTGATTGTTGTTCCATTGATTGTGTTCTTGCCTTGGGTAGATCCGGGAGACGAGTACGTGAACGAGGAACCTATTGAGTACGCTTTCGAGGATCAAGCTTTCGACAACTCTGAGTACATTGCAGGCAAGATGACCATACCCTCGAAATCACTTCTATCTTTGCTTTGCTAGTTGTTCGCTCTATTGCTATATCGCACTACCTACCACTTGCTATCATGCCTCCCATATTGCCAAGTCAAGCCTCTAACCCACATTTTCTAGCAAATCGTTGTTTGGCTATGTTACCGCTTTTGCTCGGCCCCTCTTATAGCGTTGCTAGTTGCAGGTGAAGCCGAAGTTTGTTCCATGTTGGAACATGGATATTGTTGGGATATCATTATTATCTCTTATTTAATTAATGCATCTATATACTTGGTAAAGGGTGGAAGGCTCGGCCTTATGCCTGGTGGTTTGTTCCACTCTTGCCGCCCTAGTTTCCGTCATACCGGTGTTATGTCCATTGATTTTGCATTCCTTACGCGGTTGGGTGTTATGGGAACCCCTTGACAGTTCGCTTTGAATAAAACTCCTGCAGCAAAGCCCAACCTTGGTTTTACCATTTGCCTCACCACCACCTACTTTTCCCTTGGGAGTCGCGCTCCCGAGGGTCATCTTTATTTTAGCCCCCTAGGCCAGTGCTTCTCTAAGTGTTGGTCCAACCTGGGCGATGTCCGGCACCCCCTGGGCAACCAGGGTCTATGCCAACCCGACGTGTTGCGCATCCGGTGTGCCCTGAGAACAAGATATGTGCAGCTCCTATCGGGATTTGTCGGCACATTCAGGCGCTTTTGCTGGTCTTGTTTTACCATTTTCGAAATGTCTTGTAACTGGGATTCCGAGACTGATTGGGTCTTCCCGGGAGAAGGAATATCCTTCGTTGACCGTGAGAGCTTGTGATGGGCTAAGTTGGGACACCCCTGCGGGGTTTGAACTTTCGAAAGTTGTGCCCGCGATTATGTGGCAGATGAGAATTTGTTAATGTCCGGTTGTAGAGAACTTGACACTTAACTTAATTAAAATGAATCAACCACGTTTGTAGCCGTGATGGTCTCTTCTCGGCGGAGTCCGGGAAGTGAACACGGTTCTTGTGTTATGCTTGAACGTAAGTAGTTTCAGGATCACTTCTAGTTCACGACCGTTGCGTTGCTTCTTTTCTCGCTCTTATTTGCGTAAGTTAGCCACCATATATGCTTAGTGCTTGCTGCAGCTCCACCTCACTACCCTTTCCTACCCATAAGCTTAAATAGTCTTGATCTCGCGTGTGTGAGATTGCTGAGTCCTCGTGACTCACAGATACTTCCAAACAGTTGCAGGTGCCGATGATAGCAGTGCAGGTGATGCAACCGAGCTCAAGTGGGAGCTCGATGAAGATCTTGGCCGTTGTTATGTGTCTTTTCCGGATGATCAGTAGTGGTGCCCAGTTGGGACGATCGGGGATCTAGCTTTTGGGGTTGTCTTCTTTTATTTTGGTTCCGTAGTCGGACCTTTGATTGTACCTTGGCTGATGTATGGATTATTTTATGTATTGTGTGAAGTGGCGATTGTAAGCCAACTCTTTATCCCTTTCTTATTCAGTACATGGGATGTGGGAAGATTACCCCTCTTGCGACAAGCCTACCATGCGACTATGCCTCTAAGTCGTGCCCCGACACGTGGAAGATATAGCCGCATTGTGGGTGTTACAGTATTGCTGAGCACCACCTCTCTTCTCGGTCTTCTACTGCTAGCCCCAGTGTCTCCCGCTCTAAGTTAGAGCGGAGGGGGGGGGAGAGAAGACGAATGTGAGGTGGACAATGATGTGGCGAGGTCAACTGTCAAATCCATGCCACATCAGCTCAAAACCACCAAAGTAATCTAAGGAACGAAAAATATTCGGTTTCAACAACTGAGAGACTAGGTTTTACTGGTTCTGAAGTTGAGGGACTATTTCTAAACTATCGATAAAGTTAAGGGACAAAAAGTGTACTTCTCCCTAAGAATAATATGCGTGTATCTAACCAGCTGATTTCAGCAAATATAAGCACTGACAGCAGTAGCAGCATCTAAAGCACTGCACCTGTTTAATACTAAAGCACTGCACATGCCAATTTTCCTACGACTTGCAGAACAAAGGAGGATTGCATTCTCTTATTCATGTACTGCTGTGAAGAGAAGCAGGGAAACTTTTTTACCAAACGAAAACGAAAACGGAAGCATGTGCCAAAAATCCTCTCTAAAACTCTTTAGTCCCACTCGTCGCCGACGATGATGTCTTCCTCGTCTTTGGGTGGCCGGACGACGGTCACCACCTCCGCGGCGGCCTGGCTAATGCCTTCCTCCAACAACTTCTTGCCCCTCTCCACCACCAGCTTCCCTCCCTTCTCCAGCACGTATATCCCCTCGTCCACCACCTCCTTCCGTTTCCGGTCGGCCACCACCAGCACTCTCTCGTTCTCCGCCGACCGCCACGGCAGCACCCGCCCGTCCGCCAACTCGATCACCACCGCCTCGTCGGCCACCGCCATGACTGGGGCCCAGCCCGGCAGCACCGCCCAGCGCGCCCACCCCTTGTCCACCTCCACGATGCCGAGGTCCGCGTCCGTCTGGCTCCTCCTCGGCGCGAGGTCCACGGCCTTGACGCCGTCTGTTTCTTTTACAACCGGCAGCAGCAGCACGATGGACGCCTCGGAGATCTCGCCGTACATGAGCCGCACCACCGGCACCGCGGGCCGTGCGTCGATTTCGGCCTCGAGCTCCTCCACCTCCTCTCCGGCGGCCTTCTTGATGGCCCTCTCAATCTCGAGCTCCACCCGCGCCCTGCCCGACTCGGTCTCGACCACGTCGAGCGAGCGCTCCAGCTCGGGGATGCGGTCCTCGTTGGCGATGGCCTCCCGCGACAGCCGGAAGCGCGCGTACGCGAGGCAGTCGCCGGCGGAGTGCCTGTCGAAGGCGTCCCATCCTTCGTCGCCGCGGCGCTGCGGGAAGTCCTTCATAGAGCGCGCGAGCTCGCGCACGCCCTTGGACTCGAGGCGCCTCTCGATGGTGTGCTTGGTGGCGACGATGCGCTGGCGGGCGTTGAGGAAGCGGAGCTCGTACAGGAGGTCGGGCCCGCCGTAGGAGTCGAAGTAGTGTAGGAGATCGTCGGGGAAGTCGTCGGAGATGAGGGAGTCGCGGACCTGGGAGGCGACGACGAGGCGGTTTTGCTCGACGCCGGACATGCCGGTGGCCTCCTCGATGGAGGCCGGGGTGAAGCCCTCGCGGGAGAGAGAGGAGATGAGGGGCGCGTACTCGTACCAGCGGCCCATGCGGTCGCGGAGCACGGCGAGGCGCTCAGTGAGGTCGAGGTTGCGGTAAGTCTCGGGCAGGGGGTTAGGCGGCGGGTGGAAGGGCTGGTACAGCTGGCCCGGCGGGGCCGTCGGTGGAGGGGTGCGGGGGAGCATTCCACCGCCGCCTCCCCCTCCGCGGCCCCCGCCGCCTCCGCCGCTGCCGGGGAGGATGAGCTTGCCGCCGTTCGGGGGGCTGCCCCGGGGTCCACCGCCTCCGGGGAGGATGAGTGCGGCGATGGTGTAGGTGCATCGACGCCGGCGGTGGTGGGCGGTGGAGAGGGGCTTGCGGTGGCGCGGGCCGGTAGAGGCCGCCGGGTGGGGGTGGGAGACGGAGAGCATGGTGGTGATAAGGTGAAGGGAGGAGCGCAGAGGAAGCAGGGGAGCTTATCTCATCTGCTCTCGTCTCGGGGAGGGAATGGCAGAGGAACGGGATTCGGTTAAGTGTTGATTCGAGTGAATTGCAAAAAACCACCACATTTAAAGTTGAAGCATCCAATTGTCATCACATTTGTTGCGCGTCCCAAAAATCCACCACTTGACTTGTAAATTTTCTCAATAAAAACAAATGACCGGTTTGCCGCAGTTAACACGATTTCTGACTAGGCTCGCCCACCCGTCAGGTGCCACGTGGGCGATGCCAGACGGCGAGTGAGTTGACGGCCGTTAGGGCACGCGGTACAAAACAGAGCCCCCACTCCCCGCCGCTCACACTCCACTCCACTCGCACACTCTCTCACTCTCACTCCTCTGCTTTGTCCCCTGTTGCCGCCGCCGGAGGCACGGTTCCCTCCCCGCCGTAGAAGATGCCGTCGTGGAAGGATGGAGAGGAGAGCAGCGATGAGGAGGAGCTGCTCGGCATGGATCTGGAGCAGCACTGGGTAAGATATATGCTTTGCACCTAGGGTTAGGGTTAGGGTTCAAGTGTTCTTCGATTTAAGACCATGTTTGGAGCAGTTCCTATCTTTTCTGCGGTTCACTAGTGTGCTACAATGCAGGCGAACCCTGGCACCACTATAGATGCATCCTTCTGTGGTAGAGTTGCAGATGCAAGCATCACATGTAGACTGCACTTGGCCCCATGCATGAAATATGTTGCATTTGAAGGAAGGGACACTGGGAGGAGGTTCTATGGATGTGTTGTTCCTCAGGTCAGTAAATTCAGTGGTAGTTAGTCTGCAGATTCAGTTAACTGTGTTATTGGTAGTTAGTCTGCAGTAAATTCAGTTAATTTGGACTATCTGCAGTTGCAACAATCAAATGTTAGTTTGTATGCAGTAGATTTGCACTGTTTGCAGTAAATTTGGTAGTTAGTATGTAGTAAATTTGGACTGTCTGTAGTTGCTGTCAGTAAATTCAGTTAATTGTGTTAGTGGTAGTTAGTCTGCAGTAAATTCAGTCATTTTGGACTGTCTGTAGTTGATGAAACATATTTTTAACAGTGATTTTGCAAGCATCAGTTTGTGTCAGTAAATGAAACATGTTTAGGACATTGATTTAAACTTGAAGTTTCCTGAATGTCTATTGTATCTGCAAGTATGACTGAATCACTGGATATCTCATCTATTTTATTTTTGAAGTTAGCATCTTTATTTTCTAATACTTGATGCAGGATGGTATTGACTGTGGAGTTGCTCAGTGGGTTGATGCCCCATGGCCTTCTATTCTGCAAAGATGTTTGGAGAAGATATGGGAGATGTTTCATGAGGAGAATTGTGGCAGAGTGATTGGCCATGCTAAGTATAAGAAAGAGTTGGACAAGGTGAACAAGCAGTTGGATACACTTGGGGATCAGTACAGTCAGCTGGTTGAGGAAGTCACCAAGATGTTTGATTGGGCAGATCAGAACAACAGGGTCATGAGTGATGAAGAGTTCAAGCAGAAGCAGATGGATGTGGACAAGGACATGGAGAAGCTAGCTATCAGCAAGGAGAAGTATAGTGCTGACTTTGGCAAGATGAAGCAGATGGAGAAGCTGGCTCAGGAGCTGAAGGAGGTGAAGTGCATTCTTAGGTCTCAGGGGAGATCATTAGGAACACAAGGAAGGAGAGGGATGAGATGAAGAAAGAGAGGGACTGGCTGATAGAGGAGAATAAGAAGCTGGAGTTTCTGGTGGGTGATCTTATGAAAGCTGGTCATGGCAACAAGGACAAGCTTGCCAAGATCAAGTCAATCCTTGATGAGTGAACAATGTTGTTCATCACCTCAGTTATGTTAAGCTAATATGTGGCCTTGGAACAATATAGCTGGCCTTGGGGTTGTATATTTTGGGAATCCCCTAGTTATGTAATGATTGTGATATTTATCTGCAAAACTACCTCCAGTTAATTTATGTAATGTATGTAATGACTAGCTGCAAAACTGCCCCAGTTATGTAATGTTGTTAGCTTTCTATAGTAAGAGCTATGCTATTATGAATCTGCTTCTTTGGACTACATGGTGAATGGTCAAGACCAACTGGGCATGGCCAAATTGGGCAAATGCTTACATGATGTAAATTGTTGATCACATAAAGCACAAAGATATGCATTTAACCTATAGGGTACAGAATCCTAATAATCCAAAAATATGCATAGTGCACTCATCATCTAGGATTTATTACATTGCACTCATCAACTGATTTGATACATAGATAGATAGCAAGATAGATCTAGGAGCAGTGAAACTTAACATATCATTCATCTAGGTACAGAATCCTACTCCACCTCATCCTAGTAACCTGAAAAGGATGGAAATTGGCCCTCCTCCTTGCCCAGTAGATGATATCAACATCAGTAGGGTTGGAGCCAACTGGGAATGCCTCCACGAACTGCTCCATGTCTTTGTGGTTGCGTGCTGCAAGGATCCGCTGAGCTAGTTGCCTTCTCTCCCTCCTTCTTACCTCTCTACGCCTGGCCCTGGGCACCTGTTCTTCTTCATCGACAACCTCTCCAAGATCCATCTCTCAAAGGGTTTGCTCTGGCTGCTGGGGGGAGGAGAAGTGATTGTGTTTGGGTTTGAATGTTGTGTGTGGCAATTGGGGGGTGCCTTATATAGTAGAAATGGTGGTTGGTAGGTAGGAAATAGATTAATGGTGTTAGGTAGGCTTTTAATTGGCTAAGAAACCAAGTCCAACTTTCCTTGTCCTTCTTAATTGGCTCTGAATTTTAACTAAACTGAATTTTAACCCAAGCCAACTAAAATAATCATTTAGGCTTTAGGGTGGCTTGGGCTCGACAAAGCCACCCTAAACCTATCATTTAGGTTGTATGGTGGCTTGGGCTCGACAAAACCACCCAAACCACCATTAAATCTTCAAGGTGGCTTGGGCTCGACAAAAACACCCTAAACCTATCATTTAGGCTCATTTAGGCTTTAGGCTCATTTAGGCTTTAGGGTGGCTTGGGATCGACAAAGCCACCTAAACCTATCATTCAGGCTTTAGGGTGGCTCGGGCTCGACAAAACCACCCTAAACCTATCATTTAGGCTTTAGAGTGCCTTGGGCTCGACAAAACCACCGAAACCACCATTTAGTCTTCAAGGTGGCTTTGGCTCGACAAAGCCACTCAACCTATCATTTAGGCTTTAGGGTGGCTCAGGCTCGACAAAACCACCACTCCAAACTAACCATCAAATGCCAAAATCTCATAGAATAGCAAAAAGCATAAAATCAAACAAGTAAATTGTTGATGAAACAAACATGTTCTCAACCATAAGAGTTATCATCCATACAAGTTCTCAAACTTATCATGGTAACACAAACAAGTTCTCAAGCATAGTTTACACATAGCAGTTCTCAGGCTAAATACTGATTACACATAGCAGTTCACACATAGCAGTTCTCAGGCATAGTTTCTGAAATTTAGAAATACTTAAGGCAGGCGGTTCAAAAGACAATAGCCAAATTGTGCACTGACTAGTTGCCACTGGCATAAAAGTAACCCCTCATCCTGGTGCTCTGGAACCTCTTCCTTTTAGACCCTACTGTTGCTCCCTCTATTGTAGTTGCAGCCCTAGGTGCCATGTAGGGCCTTCCACCTCTCCTGCTGGCTGCATTGCTTGAACCTGAAGCTCTTGTGGCAGCCTGGGAAGGAGTACTAGAAGCATCACTGGTGATGCTTGCCCTTCTAGAAGCAGCAATTCTTCTTCTTGGCCTTGTAGAAGCAGCAGGCTGGGCAGGACCAGTAGAAGCAGCAATTGATTTTCTTCCCCTGGTAGATGTAGCAGGCTGGGAATGACCAGTAGCAGTTGATTTTCTTCCCCTGGTAGATGTAGCAGGCTGGGAATGACCAGTAGCAGTTGTTCTTCTAACCCTAGTAGATGCAGCAGGTGGTGCACTGGTTGCAGGCTGTGCAGTAGCAGTAGAACTTCCCCCAACTCCATGGTAGTGAGTTCTGGTTGTCTAAGAAAGCACACATCATAGCCCAACAATTAGGATGAATCAAATGATTAAAACAATGACAATAGTGTGCATATTCCATACCTTGTGCTTGTCCTTTCTTGCCTGAAGATGAGGCTTCAGGGGCTGAGGGCAGTAGGTGTACCTATGTTTCTGCATATTGCAGTTGCTGCAGGTGATAGTTGCCATCCTTGATGTATCCTTCTTTGTTGAGACCTCAAATTGCCCCTTCCTCCTAGCTGTTTGCTTCCTGCCATTCTTCTCTTTGAACACTAGTGGATCTATGTCAACAGTTGGTGTCCTAGGCCAACAGTCAGGCCTTGGTACAGGGTAGATGATGTGCTTGTATGTTTCCTTATACAATGGTTTTTTGAAGAACTCATGCACATAGTCTTCTGGCTGTCCCTTCACTCTTGTAATGGCAGAAACTGCATGGTTACATGGCCAACCACATAGGTCCCATTTCTTGCAGTCACAGGTCCACTTATCAAGGTTCACACAGTAGGTAGACTCCCCACTAGTGACTTGCCAAATACCAGGACCTGCCATGTATGCAGTGCATTGCCTTGAGTACTTCTTTGACTCCTCCAACTTCTCCATATAAGTGGGTGTTATCTCCCACTTACTCTTCTCTGTCTTCTCTCTAAATGCTTGGTACTTAACCATCAACTTAGTTCTGAATCCATCTACACAGCTCCTTATTGACTTGTTCCTCACATCTAGTATCATCTTGTTAAATACTTCACTAAGATTGTTGACTACTAGGTCTGTCTTGCATGTGTGATCCATAGCATGCCTTGCCCAAGTCTCTTTAGGGATATCACAAAGCCACTTCCAAGCATCTTTATCCTCCTTTCTCAGTTCATTCATTGCAACCTCAAAACCATTCTTGGTGTATGAATATGCAACATTGTCCATATGCTTCTTCAACTCCTCACTTCTGAAGCCAGCTGACTGGAAATTTGCATAGATATGTCTAAGACAATATCTTTGAGGTGAGTGTGGGAACACAGCTTGAATTGCATTCAACAGCCCCTATTTAAGTCATTATATAGATTATTAATCATATAACTTCATAATTGCAGCAAGTATTACAAATTATTAATCATATTACTTCACAATTGCAGCAAGTATAACAAATTATTATTTCTACAAATTGCTTATTCAATTGTGAAATGAAAAATATACTTTCTGCCTATCAGAGATGATTGTGTATGTGCCCCACTTGTTCCCCTCTCTAATGCAAGCTCTTAATTGGCTAAGAAACTAAGTCCAACTTTCCTTGTCCTCCTTATCAACAATACCAATTGCAATAGGGAATATGTTGTTATTCCCATCCCTACCAGTGGCTGCAAGTATCTGTTGCCCAGTAGAAAGCTTGATAAAGCAACCATCTAAACCTGTATTAAAGCATTGGGTAGTGAAATCAGTGCATTATTAAGTACAAGATATGGGCAATGAATTGGAGTAATTTGGAATACATATAATACCTATAAAGGGCCTACACCTATTCAAGAAACCTTCTTTTGAAGCATTCAGACAGTAGAACATGTAGTGGAACCTATGATTTGGGCTAGGATGGAGCTCAAGCTCTCTGGTAGTCACAATGCATCTGCTCCCAGGGTTGGTATCAAGCACAGCTTGAAGATAATCCCTAAACCTTGTGTATTGTCCCTTCATGTCACCTTCCACCACTTCAATGGCCAATGACCTTGCCCTGTAGGCCTTGGTCTTTGGCACTTCCAGCCCATACTTAGTCTTTGTTCTTTTAAAATTGCATCAACACCAGCCCTTGGATTATCTCTCGGTTGCTGCTCACATGTTCTGGCCATCCAGTCAACTGTCACTTTGGTTTTTTCTCCATGTGCACCACAAGTGTGTAACAACTGCATCTTCTTGATGCAAAATGTCTTCTCATGAGCAATTGTGGATGCAGTCATGAAAAAAGGACACCCATTGTCCCTTTCTGTGCAATGCACAATGATCCTATCCTTGCAGTTCCTATGGTACTGGAAATTTCTAAGGATTCTGATATGAAAATTCCTAAGTGCTCTTCTAAATTGATACACATCAGTGAAGCACATACTCAAGCAAAGTTGATCATGAGCATCTGGCTTGCTCTCATCATACCAGATCCTAGTCCTGGCCCTCTTGGCTTGACTCTTCCTTCCACAAGGGAGTGGTAGACCTGACTCATCATCTGAATCACTAATGCCATAGTCCCCATGAAAACAAGCAGAATCATCAGATGGAATGAAATCAGGAATTACCTCAATGTCAGCTTCATGGTGTGATCTTGTAGTGGGGCCTGCTTTGCCTACTTTCTTGAATGTTTGAGGAAGAGGTGTCTCAGGTTCTGTGTCTGAGTCCTCTGCCTCTGGACACATCTCTTCCACTTCTGTGTCTCCTTCAAAGTGATGCATAGGATCCTCTCTTTGTTTCCTTTTCTGCTTCAACTTCTCAATGATTTCATCTTCCTCCTCATTACCTATGTCATGCTCTTCCTCCTCAATGATTCCATCTTTCTCCCCACAGCAGTTCAAATCAACAAACACTTCATCATCAGAGGGGCCAACATCTTCCTGTACTTTCTCTTTGCCCTTTGCTTTCTTCAAATTCATGCTCTGTTGTGTGTTAATATATGCAGACTCTTGACCTGGCTCTACAACAGCAATAGGCACAACATACAACTCTTCAATTGTGTCTTCAACAGCAATAGGGAACAATACTCCTGCCCCATCTATAGAAATAATGTTGGAATCCCCCACATTACTTATAGGCACTTGTTCCTCCACAATATTTGACCTATAAAACTCTCCTGGATTAGGCTCATTAGCCTTAATTACAGTTATGTTGAGCACCTTCTGCTCAGCATAATAGTCTAGCATCTCTTCCACACTATCTTCACTGTCAATAACCTGCATTCCTGCTGCCCCCTTTCCTTCTTCTTTCATATAGAACATGTAGTCAGCTTCAGTATATCCCTCTTCAGTCTCTAGCAGTGCTAACATGTTCATAAAAGTAATTTCTGACAAAGAAATTGTCCTCTCCAAGTTGTCTCTCCCTTGAAAATGGTACCTTATTTCCCATATCTCATCATCCAAACTACATAAAATTGAGGAGAATTAGTGCTTGATTGATTCTGTTTTAATAATGTAACATGTTATTCAGACAAGATATTCAGACAAGATATTAGCACTATCTTCACTGTCAATAAGGAGTAAACAAAGCATTCATGCATAAACCTATAAACCCAGAGCTATATTTCCTACTGAAACATGTTATACAGAAAAGATATTAACTATATCAGCTACAACACTTGAGTAAACAAACAATAATCTTCAGTAAATAAAGCACTAAAATCAAACTGCCCTAAAATCTCCTAAAATCTAACAACCCTAAAATTTCCTAAAATCTAACAGCCCTACTGTAGCATGATAGGTTTATATGCAATCTAACAACCCTAAAATTTCCAGTGTATCCAATGAAGAGAGGGGTGGAGGGGGAAGAAATCTTACCACACGCCACCGAACCCTGAAGCCCACTGATGGCCTTCTCCAACGCCTGAAGCCCTGATCTTGCGTGCTAGGGCCGCCGCCGCACGGCGCTCAATGACCCACTCCGGTGGCGAGGGGGGCGAAGGGGATCGCTTCGGTGAAGGAGCCCGCTGCGTCGGCAAGCTACTGCTTCCGAACCAGTTGTCCACCTCTGAGAACCCATCACCATCGCCTCCAGTCCCTCCGCCGCCTGCTGACTCGCCGCCGCCGCCGCCGCCGCCGCTAGGTTTAGCCGCCGCCGCCATCGCAGGACAGAGAGAGTGACGGGGAAAGAGGGGAGAATGGGCCAAGCAGTCAGAGCCGCGAGCGCTTTGACCACGCGCGTGCCCTAACGGCCGTCAACCCACTCGCCGTCTGGCCTCGCCCACGTGGCACCTGACGGGTGGGCCAGCCTAGTCAGAAATCGTGTTAATTGCGGCAAACCGGTCATTTGTTTTTATTGAGAAAATTTACAAGTCAAATGATGGATTTTTGGTACGCGTAACAAATGTGGTGGCAATTGAATGCTTCAACTTTAAGGCTCCGTTCGAAATCACTCCGCTCCGTAACTCCGACGCGGAACGGAGCGGCATACAATACAAATACGGAGAGCTGCAAACAGCCCGCTCCGCGCGCTCCGCTCCCTAGTGACGGAGCGGTGGTTTCCCGAACACAGCCTAAATGTGGTGTTTTTTTGCAATTTACTCCGTTGATTCGGGCCTGAACCCGCCAAATTCAACCGCGGACAATCGCACGGCTCTAACCACCACAACGGAGCCGATTACCGCCATAACACCGGGTTTTGGGGGTCACCAACATCCGCCTAGGGAGTAGATCCGTATAAACTAGCGCGACCAAGACTAGTGCTGTGTGCCACTGCTCGCCGTCGCTTTCCCCCCGCCTCCTTTTCCCCACGCGGTAGCGGTACAAGAAGAATAAAGGCCTTGTGGAAAAAAATACTAGACACTGAAAGCCCAACCCTCTCCTCCTCTCATCTCTTCTTCCTCCAGTCCCCCGATCTCCGCAGCAGTCGCGAGGGTTTAGAGCTCGTAGGGTTCAAGCCTTGCGTTGTGCACTGTGCTGTGGTGCCAGGTAAGTTGTGGACTTGGCGGGTCTGGTCGCGTGCAGTGCGCCGTCCCACTCCCATGGCGGCGCCGTGGTGGGCGGCGGCGCTGGTGACGCTGGGCGTCGTGGGGTTGGCGGCGGGTCCCCGGGGTTGCGCCGCGCAGCCGGTGGTGCTGACCAGCTACGGCCAGCCCAAGCTCTCGCTCAGGCCCTACGACTGGACCTACCTCCGCGGTGAGAGATCGAGTCGCTGCTGCTGCCTGCTTGGGTTTAAGTTATTTAAACCAAACCAGTAGTATATTTACTGTATTAAAATAGTGTGACCGATCTGTGTCGCGGCCTCTCTTCTTCGTTTTATCTTCTCCGGAGATTAAATGCTCGTTTGATACCAGATTCTATGTGGTTTACCATTTCCTCGCGCCCCGATCCTTGGGCTGGGAGAATTTTCATTTGCCACCACATGTTGTGGATTCTTTCTGAACGTGCCCCGTGTTTGGGTTACTTGAATTTCGAAATCCAATGCCTATGCCTCTGGTTTTACTTTGCCTGCTCCACTGAGTGTTTGCTTGTTAAATATGTATTTCTTTCCCATTGAGGAACAATTGACGCATATAATTTGTATTTGTTTTGACTCATGTATCTAGTAACTATGCCTGAATTTGTCCCACGTGGTTTGAGTTTTTTTATCTTTGCTTTCCTTACTAGCAGTTGACTTGCCGGCATCATTTTCTTCTATCACCATGAACTTTGCAACCGACAGAGATATTGTAAGTGAAAGACTCTGGTCTTCTTCTGTGAGTTATATTACTGTACTTGTTTTTCTCACAAAAATAGTACTGTAATTTGTTTATGTGGGGGTGAGCTATGCTGGCTTGTCTTCTCAGAGTGGAGTGGCAATGTTGGTGACTTAAAAAGTGCTTCATTAATACTTAAAAAGTGCAGACAGCAATACTAGCTGAACAATCAAGACATTATGTTCTTTTCATGCTCGTCCTAGTTTACGTTATACATACGTATTTCAAGATGTTGAGACCGCTTATGTATAAAGGCCTTTGGAATGCAGAGATATGAATAACATAGGATTGAGATATAATGGCTTGTTTGTCTAAAAAAAAGAAGAAGATATAATGGCTTGTTGAATGCTGCAGAAACGCAAACACATAAATTTACAAATATGCTAGACGTAAAATTCTTTCCATGAGGTCTATGTTCGAGTTAAAATCATGGATTGAGCCATTCTGTAGGTATTTCACTGGATTCCTGCATGCTCATTCCTTTGTTCTAAATTAAAATTTCCTACACCATTCCAATCCTCCAAAATTTCTATAATCAAAAGATGCCTTAAGTGTCCATCTACAATTTGTACATAGTCCAATTTTTTTTATATCATGCTCTCAAGACAATGAGATGATGGAAGGGTGATCGATATGTTTTTTACAGCCCCCCCCCCTTCCCTGTATGGCATCGTAAATATTTTGTACACCATTAAATATTTATACACCGCCGGAGTCTTCCATACTTGCCTGTCTGGAATGGACGTAATATTTGTGTGGGCATCGCCGCATCGGTATTTAGTTCAAATTTGTACGAAATACCAATGGACACACAAATATTACATCAATTTCAGATAGGTCCTACAGTTTTCCATAAAATAATTACTGGTTTGGTTTAGTTTTACATTTGATAGTTAGTAGAACCTGAATGGTAGAAAAACACTGTAGCTGGATGTTTTGTATTTGCGGTGGTGATCGAATGAAACAAAAACACTTATATGCTTCAAATAAAGCTAGGTAGTGATGCATTCATGCATGACATTGTGAGCTGAAAGATTCTGTTTTTTGAACCTTTTAAATTTTAACAGCATTACTTGTTTATTCCCTATTTTTGAGCATAGGTGCAAACCGACTTATGCACAGCTTATGCAATGTTTCTTTAAATAATGCAGCCCAGGGAGCACTTAAAAGATCTTCCGAAAAGTGATCTTGCTATCATCTGTTTGATGATTGCCAACCCTCCTATTCCTGATACATCTGATTATTATTTGGACAATTTATGTGAGTGCCATATACATTTTCTCATGTGATGACATACTTTACTACTTTATCTATTTTAACAATCTTGTATACCTACACAATTGCGGTGAACTAGTTAAAGATGTGCTATATACGGTTCATGACCATAGTCTTCAAACTGAAAGAGATCTAACTTGTACTAAACTATTGTGAAGCCAATCATATTTTGATGCTATTATTTTGCTTGAAAGTCCATCACGAATTTATTGCAATGAGTGAGAAAATTAAAACAATGATGTAACAGATAGATAAAAATTTCAAGATACTGCAGTTATGAAAGGCGAAGGCTGAAGTAGCTAAGATGCTAATAAAGTGGTGTGTATTTTTCTTCCATCTGGATAGCTATATCCTGTGCTGCCATTTTTCTCGGGGAAAAAGAATAAGAGGAGCATATTTGTGCTGCTATCTAGTCTGTAGCTTTTCTGAAACAGTAGCATGCCACTTGTTTCTTCTAGATGAGGAGTATATTTGTCAAAAAGACACTGATTTGTAAGCATTCTTCTAGCAAGTTAGCTTTATATGTTCTTTGATCCTAGCATAATATTTCGTGTTTACTTAACTTTCTGATTAAACTAATTTTGACAGGAAGGTTCTTTATTGCAGTATCAAACTTTCTTGCTGTTGGATCTTTTGGCAATACGAATAACCAATCAAATCTGGCTCAGTGCATACCATTTCAGAAGAACACAACGATAGTGTTAACAAATGGCCAGGTTAATTATCCTGATGCTCTGACAGTCTGACTTGCAAAGCAATATGTTGTAGGCCCTTGTTTGTAGTAGCACAACAACTGCAGCAATGCTACCATTAGCATTGTATGAAAAATTCTCAAAATTGCTTTATTTTCTAGAAATATTCACCTCCTAGACACACTGGTAGTCTGTTGGGGAACTAGAACTGAGTCTAGTATGATTACTCAATGTAGAACATAATCTTAAATAGGAATGTAGATAGTTTCTTGCACGCTTCCATTTGTTGAAGATAGAAACCAAAACAGATTAAAGCTTTTTACCTGCTTGGTGCATCTGGCTCATTATGACATATGACATATTAGAACCATTAGGTCCTCTGACTTTGAGACCTAGTTTGTGCAAATTTAAGATCATAAATTGCAGCCCCCGTCAAGTCCACAGCATAGGCATGTGGAGCCTCCACCTGAGGGGGGATGTCGAAGTATGCTCACCTTTCCCTAATGGCTTAAGCTTTTGACTGAACTGCTTGGTGCATGAAGCTTAATACCATGGACCGGTAATCTGTAATCTCGTGTAACACTGCAGGGTCCAAATACACCTTAACTTTTGGTTTCTATCCTTGCTTTGCCCAAAAGGTTTAACCTTAGCATGGGTTGCTCCTTTGGCGTTACTTGCACATTATTCAGCAATAGGCTTAAGCTGGTGTAGCACCGAGTATCCTAATCTTAAGTGCAAGGGATTTACGTTATCTTCTGATGTATTAGCTATACACCAAGAAATTATGTGGACTTCTAATGTACTGGCCTTCGGTATGTGCAGATATTGCCAGGGATTTGGTACATTGGTTACTTTAATGGCCTTGGACCTGCTCGCACACAATCAAAGATGGTACGCTCAGTCCAGATTAGGGCATGCCCTGTGCTGCATAATTATTAACTTTATAATTCCGCCATGTGGCATAATTACGTAATACACAACTTGAATCTTGATAATTATACCTTTTCAGATTAGCCGAGGGAGAGCACTATCAGTGAGCACTAGCATTACGGTAGAAGGATGTCCTACTTCAGCACTATGGGGACCCTACTGCAACCAAACTATTGAAACTATTGGTTGTTCTCAGTTTTCAAGATATAACAACTCAAGAGATCTTCTAGGTCTGACTATCAACACCCGGAAAATATTGAAAACTAAAGAAAATACTAGACGTACCAGCTTCTTATCAAGGTCGAACCATCCAATAGGACATCAACTCGAGTCCAATGGTACTAGCGTAGTGGGAGTGGAGAATTTGATCACTTGTGCCATTTCAAATGACTCACTATGCCTCAGGCAAGGCGATATAAAGTTTTACTTCTTGGATATAGTCAACCAAGCACTGCAATTTGAAATTACAGCTGCAAATTTTAGATTATCCCAAAGTGCATCCTTAATCTGTTATCTGCGCTGCAATGCCTTACCTCAGAGAGATTTGCACGATTATTCAGGTGATATTAGCAGTGCTCCCTTGGTTATAAAGCTGCCAAATATTGGACGATGGTATATCGCAATTGAGATTCTGAACAAAACACAGATGAGAAATACAACCGCACCTATGCTGGATACAATTTGTTTCTCATTTGATTGGCAAGTAACTGGATGTCTGAATGGAAAAACTGGAACCGACTGCTCATGGGAAGCATATGTGCTACAGGTAGGTTGAGTAATTGACAGAGATGCATTCTGTATGATTTTTAGTGCATACACTTCCATCTTTTAACTGGATGTCTGAAGGGGAGCCTTGGCGCAGCGGTAAAGCTGTTGCCTTGTGACCATGAGGTCATGGGTTTGAGTCCTGGAAACAGCCTCTTGCAGAAATGTAGGGAAAGGCTGCATGACGTGAACCGGGCTGCCCTTTTAGCCTTGTACCTAACTAACAAGAAAGATAAACATAGCCGTGGCAAAGACTGGGTTGATCTTTGTGTTGGCCAGTTAACGGTGTAGTGGCAGCTAAATAATGGTGCCTACCTTCTTTAAAAGTGTAGTGGGTTTACCTCTTTCTCTTCTGTTACAGCATCTTTGAAATAAATGAAATTTTTAGTTTGCCTAGAATCTGTTTAATTACTGCCGTGAAGGCTGATGTCTTACTTTCATGGTAATTCCTGTCTTTTGGTCATGAAAATTATGCAATAAATGAATCAAGGCAGAATGATTAGTGCGAGAAGCTAAATAAGAGCAAAGTAGTTACTTATCACCAACATTTGTGGGATTAGCCAATGTTATGAATCTCACTGCTATTGTCAGGGTTCTAATATTTTTCTCTAATGCTGTGCAATCTTGCAAATATCAGATAATGTTGAATTCGAAAATGTCATATATTTTTTAATGCAAGGAGTACTGGATATTCATCCTGGACGTTATCCAATAATCTCATGTGCTTGCATTTATTTTTTGCAAAGTAGATTTTATTTATTATGGTGCTGCAATTCTGAACGTCTCCTGTTGAGATAAAGCCAGCATGTTGCCACCCAAGGTGGGACACTAGATTGATCTCTTAATTTTAGTTATTACTGCAATTTAAGACTTTTGAGAGTGGTATGTGCACTCTTTGTTTCTATGAACTTCACTTCTTAGTAGGTGTCTTTATTAATTACATATTGTTTACGTGCAGAGAGTTCCTAAAAGAAATCCTTCTGTTCCTTTTGAGTCATATTATGTTCCTACTGATGAGGGGGCATTGCTGGAATATAGTCACTTCTCGCTCGAAAAGTTCTTAACCAACTCATCCTTTGAGCAATTTGCATGGACTTATTTCTTTTTGGATGTTCCCCAAGGTTCAGCAGGTGCACTTATTCATGTCCAGCTAAAGTCAGATAAAGAATTGAATTATGAGCTGTACTCAAAATATGGTGGTCTACCATCAAATGATAGTTGGGATTATTACGCAAGCAGGACAAGCAGCAGTAACGGTTCAGTATTCTATTCGCTACAGAATTCCACGGATTCAGACATGGATCTATCTATTTTCTATGCCAAGGAGGGAACTTGGTGCTTCGGAGTCAAGCATCCAAATTATACTTCAAATTCTCAGACATATATGTCTATATCTCTTCAGGGATGCCATAGAAATTGTAATCAGAAAGGTGTTTGTCATGCTTCAGTTGATGAAAGCGGGTTAACATTCTACAGGTAAATAATCCTCAAGGTTTCCCCTGCTATTTGGATGCATTTGCATTTGTATGCCCTGTATATGATGTTTGATACAGTACTCAACAAAAGAAAGTATTTGTTTCTAGCTACTGTGATAATTCTTAAAGATTTGTTTCTTCTCATTCAACAGCTTCTGCACTTGTGATCGTGATCATGGTGGGTTCGATTGCAGTGATGAATTAGTTTCACCTAATGGTAAGTCTCGTGTTTAGTTTTGAAATTTCAGTGTGCCAGTGATTTTACAGTAGAAGATTCTTCTCCATATAAATGATGAGCAATACTTCAATCAGCTACTACTGTTAGTAGTCAATTATTGATGTAGTGTTTTGACTCATTTCCTCGGCAGTGCACTTTATATTTATCAAGAGAAACGTTGCAAATGTTCGTATGAAATTCTTCGATCATTTAAACATTAACATGTGCTATGTTTGGGCACTCTTAAGGTAACTGATTCTTAGGAAGTTTGCATTCAATAAAATAACATGTACAAGTAAGCAAGTAGCCATATAGTAACATTAGTAGTGTAATGTTACTGAAATAACATGTACATGTAAGCAAGTAGGCCAAATGTTTCCTACCATCCAGTGGCAGTTACCTTCATGTGAGTTTTGTATATTGTATGTAGAATCTGTCAAACCAGAGTATGTACGTGTAGTATGTAGTATGTAAGAATGTTTTGGTAGTATATATACCAATTTTTAGGTAGTATTTATATTATTTTATACATCAAATCTGAAGGTATTTTTGAAATATTAGTAAAAACTATGGATTAACATGCAGTATTTTCATATAGCTCGCTATGAAAAATCTTAGATATAGTATATGAACATACCTAGAATGATAAGTATATACTACCACATGATAGTATATGAGACGTGAGGGTAACTACCACTGGGTGGTAGGATATATAGGGGCTGTTTGGATTGCGCTACAGCCAGCCCTGCCAATCTATGGGCAAGCCAAATAATCAGTGGAGTAATCCTCCGCTCACGACGCGCCAACGATTTGGAAAAAAATGAACTGGAGGGAGTGAGGCGGGCTAGACATACCAAATAATTGGTGCCCAACCAAACGCGCAGCGATGTCTGGTCAACGACCATTATTTTGGAAGGGCAGCTCATGGCTCCCATCCAGACAGCCCCATAATATATCATCCAATGAAGAAACGGTTGATGTAACGAGTAGATTCTTATTATGTGCCTCACTCTAGTTCCGAACGCTGTCCACAGAATACTCATAAGTTGATGGCAACAAAATGAAAACTTGCCAGATGTAAAGTTTTTTTTTTCTCGAGCACACAAATGTCTTGAGTTTCATTTTGTAGAAGAAGGCGTCAAAATGACGCAAGGTTTACAAATTGAAACCAAAAGCAAAACGCAAAAAGGCAACCTAGGCGAAGCAAAAGAAAGAAGTAAACCCAAAACCTCTAAACTGTTAAAACCAGACTTGAGGTAGAGAGGGTGAGCTGAACACGGGAGAGTTGGTTTAGCTCCAGCGAGCATCCACAGCTTGGCTTCACACAGGATCAAGTCAACTAAAGCTGAGCAATCAGGTGTGGCGCCATTGACGACGCAGTCATTGCGCAAGGTCCAGTTGTATAGCTGACTGATGTAGGGTGGAAACCCTAGGGCCGATCTTTCACGATTGGAGTGGATCCTACGGAGAACACGAGGGAAAACACGAGGGGAAACACGAGAGAAAACACTCAAACCAGCAAGATTCGATTACACATGTGCTAGATCCTCGAAACACAAAGAGATACACAATCCACGATCAACAAAGGACGATACAAGTAGCAAGTTCTTCTCCGTGAGGAGGTCTTGAGGGGTCTTCCCGTGAGGGGTCTTGAATCCACTTGGGGGATCTTCTCCGTGGAGGTCGTGAACTCCGATGGAGAAGGGATCAAGTGGAGAGCAAAGCTCTATCTCAAATGAGCTACTACTTTGCTAACCCTAATACGGAGCTAGGGGACGAGTATTTATAGTCCAAGGGGTAAGTTGGGGATACATGGGGCGAAACCCCTTTCGCTGCGCACAGGCAGGGCGGTAGTACCGGTCATGGGGGCGGTTGTACCGCTTGGAGCTCTTGTACTGGATCCTGGAGGTATTTCCGGAGGTGCTTAGCGGTTTTACCGGTGTTTGGAGCGGTTGTACCGGTCTGATGGCTGTTACGGGGATAAACCGGTGCTGTACCAGCCTTGCACCGCTCGATCACAGAAGCTGGACTGGTAGTTGGGCGGTAGTCGAGCGGTTGTACCGCCCGGGCGGTAGTTGGGCGGTTGTACCGGGGTTTCTGGACTGGGCAGATTTTCTTCATGCTCTTGATGTCCACCTTGCACCATAACTTCTCCTTGGTTGCTTTCTTGGTACCTAAGCACGCAAAGCATCTCCGTTTGAGGTAGTAGCCATCTCTCAAGTGGGCCAAAGGGGAGTTCAACAAGGAGAGTTAACCTCGTTCTCGGTAGCCCTTGCACGAGCTCGTGTCATCGGTCCGCGTGATGTCTTGGGAGACGAAGGTAGGTCCATGGGGATGGTCGTAGGATGCTCCGCATCACTGACTATTCAGACTGTAATTATCTTGGCCAGTAAGTCTAATCCATTTTCTTTTATCTGATTCTACAATGGACTCGCATGTTGATAAACTGTGTTAAGTAAACTTCATTTGAGGATCAAAATGCAAGAAATAATGAACCAGCATGTGCCTAGTTGCCGGCATAATGAACCAGCAGTTGGAAATTCTTAACATATCAGTGCAGGCTGCAGGTTATTTTCAAGGAGAATGTGTTACCTTATGCAATGAATATCACCCTTTTGACAAGTTGTGATGCATCATTTTACATCTATGCAATAAATTATTAAATTATAATATTGGTTATATCTGAATGCAGGGCACATCAGGCAGTCTGTCTTTCTAATCGCATCAAATGCTGCAGCAATTTTACCTGCCTTCTGGGCCCTCCGGCAAAAGGTATACTTGTGCTTCTACTAGCATGATGGACTGAAAAAAACCCCTCAATAAGTATGATATTTTGCCTACTGGTCCACGGTTCTTCCCTTTCTTCAGTGAGGGGGGATTAGCCAACAAAAAATGTGCCTTTTTGGAAAATAGGGAAAAACTTCTGGACATTCGTTAAACCATTTACTTAAATTTGATGACCTAGATATCTACTTTGCAATTTTATGGATCCTCAATGCAATTTGCTATTTTATTTACATCTATCAGCTGGTGTAAGGAAACTGTCTTATCATTTGGGGATTATTTGTAGTTCATTAGTCATTACACAGAAGTGCTATCTCTGGTTGAACATAAAATTGTTGAAAGACCTGTCAGATTTGAATGAAGGCCTTTGTGCGGTCAGTTGTCTTCATCTCATTTTCAAAACAAGCATCTTATATGATCCAATAGGAATATATACACGACTACACGAGTAAAGTATAAAGTTTCATGTTGAACTATGAGGCAAAACATTCTGCAAGTTATGGAGTTAGGGAGAATAACATGATTGTTAACTCAAATAGATCCTATCGGTATGGCAGGTGTTGAGTTCGGAGGGATGAAACATGTAGGTCCCAAATGAGAAATGACTGATAAGCTGCTAGATTGTCTTACTGCAAAACCATGCCTAAACTAGTTCCATATTATTATATCTTGATATTTTTAAAATATTCTCCACATTCAAAAAGCTAAATTTGAGTTTTCTTTTTATATAAACAGAGTAAATTTGCTCAGTAACATGGTAACCTTTTTCCCGTTGCCACCTAGGCGTTTGCCGAATGGATTCTTTACACGTCTAGTGGAATTTCTAGTGCTTTGTACCATTCATGTGATGTGGGCACCTGGTGCATACTATCTTTTCGTGTATTACAGGTAAGATGCTCATCACATACTGCTAGTTTACATATCATTGACATTTATTGGACCAAGTATCATGGCCATGTGTATTATTATTCTAATACGAGGTAGACCACCTTGCACCTTCTGGTTGACAGTCAACTTCAGTTTAGGAAAAGACCCAAGAGGAACACGAGCATAATTTACAAGTTTACATGTAGTTGCATCCAATGAATATATATTTTTAGCATGCAGGCCCTCGGTGCATGAACTCGTGCAATCATGTATACCTAATTAGTTTACATGATAACATTGATGTATCCTAACGTATAGGCTTCTACTGTATCATAATAACATCGATACAACAAAAACAACAAAGCCTTCGGTCCCAAACAAGTTGGGGTAGGCTAGAGGTGAAACCCATAAGATCTCGCAACCAACTCATGGTTCTGGCACATGGATAGCAAGTTCCCACGCACCCCTGTCCATGGCTAGTTCTTTGGTGATACTCCAGTCCTTACGGACTCCTCCCATGTCAAGTTCGGTCTACCCCGACCTCCCTTGGCATTATCAACACGCTTTAGTCGTCCGTTATGCACTGGAGCTTCTGGAGGCCTACGCTGAATATGCCCAAACCATTTAAGACGATGTTGGACAAGCTTCTCTTCAAACGGTGCTATCCCTATCTCGTATTTTTCATTCTGGACCCAGTCCGTCCTTGTGTGGCCACACATCCATCTTGACATGCGCATCTCCGCGACATCTAACTGTTGAACTTGTCTCCTTTTAGTCGGCCAACACTCAGCGCCATACAACATTGCGGGTTGAATCTCCGTTCTGTAGAACCTGCCTTTTAGCTTTTGTGGCACTCTCTTGTCACAGAGAACGCTAGAAGCTTGGCGCCACTCTATGTTTATAAAGCGGTAAAGCGAAGCGAGGCGCTTGGGGGGCGCCTCACTGCTTAAGCGATAAAGCGTAAAGCGAGGCGACGCTTTAGACAGACTCTGAACCTGATGGGCAGTATAATAGAGCACCATTTAGTGAGACATATATATGTTGATTCTAATCCACCAGTGAGCCCATATATTCTGATCCATCCACTAAGCAGTAAGCAACTAGCCAATTGCTATAAGAGAGGCAGTAGCACCTAACAGCAGAGGAGTTGTGCATAGCATAACACACAACAGAGCAGAAAAGGCTGGTGCAGATCTGAGGAAGCTGCTGCCAGAGGAGAGAGGAAAGAGCTGAAAGCCTGGATATTTGCACGCTCTGGTTTTGGTTCTCTCTCTTTCTTTCCCCTCCTGTAACTGTTTCAAATGTGAGCCCAGCCCTGTTTCCCTGCCAGGAATCTCTGTACCCTGCCTGGCAAGTCTAAGGCGTCCTCTCTGCCTTAAAGCGCCAATCAGGACGCCTAAGCAGGCGCTTCAGACGCTTTAGTGTCTAAGGCGGACGCCTTAGACACATGTCTAAAGCGAGTTGGACGCTTTGAGCCTGGAGGGCGCTCTAACGCTTAAGCGACGCTTTAGGGACGCTTTACAAACAGAGGCGCCACTTCATCCATCCGGCTTTGATTCGATGGTTCATATCTTCATTGTTATCTCCATCCTTCTGCAGCATTGACCCCAAGTATCGAAAGGTGCCCTTCTGAGGCACCACCTGCCCATCAAGGCTAACCTCCTCCTCTTCGTGCCTAGTAGTACTAAAACCGCACCTCATGTACTCGGTTTTAGCTCTACTAAGTCTAAAACCTTTTGATACGCAATTTTTATATTTAATGCAATCCTAATAAATTGAAAGCTGATGGATGAAGTTGGAAGTAAGGAACATGATGGCAGTTCCGTCGTGACAAATAGAAGTGACGCAGCATTATTTTTCCTGGTTGATGCTAGTAAGCACCCTTTTTCATGGCGATTAATTGGTTTAACATCGAGGACAAGCATTTTATAGTGAGGTACTGTTATAGACCTTGGTCCAAAACAGGGAGATTTGAGAAGAATTAAGGTCCAACTACCAAGCATAGGGCACTTGCCCTAAAGATGTATGTGGATCTGTTTTCTTGCCCGCTTTCGGACGCACACATCGCCGCGGTGTTGGCCATGTTCGGTTGGGAGTCGCCGGCTGTGCCTCTCGAGGGGGCGGAAGTGTGCTAACGGCCACACCGGCGGCATGGTAGGAGTTTGCAATGAATACGCAACCCTTGAGGATGATGGTGTGGAATGTTCGCGGGCTAAATGCGCCTGCCCGTCGGAATGCTGTTTACCAGGTGGTGACTGCGGCCAGTCCGGCCATAGTGTGTCTCCAAGAAACCAAATTACATGATGTATCGCTAAATGTTATACGACAATGCCTCGGTGCTAAGTTTGGGAAGTTCTTCTACTTGCCTGCGCTGGGAACGCGCGGTGGGATCTTGGTGGCTTGGGATGCCATAATAACTCAACTTTCAAACCCGCATTATACCAACCATATGCTAACGGCGCTAGTCAAGTGCCCCGATGATGAACAACCTTGGTGGCTCACGTGTGTGTATGGGCCACAAGAGGAGAGTGAGAAGGTGGAGTTTCTGCAAGACTTGGTGGATATTCGAGACCTCCACGTGGGGCCTTGGCTTGTGGCCGGGGACTTCAATCTCATTGCTTGTGAGGAGGACAAGAACAATGTCATGATTAACCGCAGGATGCTGGGGAGGTTTCGCGCAAAACTAAACTTCCTAGAGCTAAAGGAGATATATTTAAATGGAAGAAGGTACACGTGGTCAAATGGAAGGAGAGTCGACACTTTGGAAAAGATCGATCACGTGTTTGTTTCTAATGAATGGGATGTGGCGTACCCAGCAAGCTTTCTTTCGGCCTTGGGTACGGCGGTCTCGGACCATTGTCCGTTGGTGCTGGATATGAATGTATGCATCAGCACGAAGAGTCGATTCAAATTTAAATCCTTTTGGATTAGAGCAGAAGGATTTATGGATGTGGTGAAGCTGGCTTGGAGCTCAACACCTGCTGCCTCAAACGACTATCTTACGCTGCAAAACAAGCTAAGAGCCACTGCGGTGAGTCTCCAAAGGTGGAGTGACCATTGGATCGGGAATGTGAAGCTGCAAATAGCTATTGCTCTTGAAGTTATAAAGCAACTTGACACCGCCATGGAGGGAAGAGCTCTAACTGATGCCGAGAGGGAGCTGAGGAAATGCCTGAAAAAGAAGCTCATTGGTTTGAGTTCCCTGGAGAGGACGATAACGAGGCAAAGGTCAAGGCTGCTGCAATTGCGTGAGGGGGGGCGGTAACACTTGGCTTTTCCACCAGCAGACCAGCCAGATGCAAAGAAAGAATGTTATAAGATCTGTGAAGCACAATGGGAACCTATATGCTGGGCAGGACGAGGTTGCGTCGGCAGTGGATGCCTACTTTGGTGCGGCATTTGGTACCTCGGATGCTAGGAACCATACTCTCAATTTGGATATGCTAGGCCTGCCGCACCTGGACTTAACACATCTCGAGCACCCGTTTACGGCTGACGAAGTGGAGAAGGTAATCAAGAGCATGCCACTAGATAAAGCTCCGGGACCAGACGGGTTTACCGGGAGGTTTTATGCAACATGTTGGAACATCATCAAGGAGGGCTTCATGAAGGCAATGGACTGTTTCTACAAAGGAGATATGAGAGGTACGCCTTCATCACTGCCGCCGAGATGAAGGCGTACGATGACATGTTTGCGGTGCCCATCCCGCTCTCGGTGCTCACGGCCATCGCCGCCCTGGTAGACCGAGAGCTACCCGCGGACTTCTCTACCGCGGCTGCTGCGACGGCCACCGCTCGGATGGCCGGCTCGCCATAGGGCTATCGTGATGTCCGTCCCCGTCAATCATGTCCACCCATGGATCACGATATCAAGATAGCTATATGGAATGTGCGCGGCCTTAACGCGCGTGCCCGGCGCTATGCCGCTAGATCGCTGCTTAACACCATCGGAGCCTCTATTGTATGCCTACAAGAAACTAAAATGGCTTTGATCTGCTCGTCCGTTGTCCTCGATGCCCTCGGTTCGGAGTTTGACGACTACACGTACCTCCCAGCGAATGGTACGAGGGGAGGCATCCTGCTCGCGTGGAAGAGCAGGGTCGTGTCCATCACTGCCCCCCTGTTCACCACAAACGCCGTCACGACAAGAGTGGCCACGGCTAGTGGCACGCCGTGGTGGATGTCCGTCGTTTACGGCCCCCAAGAGGACGAGGAAAAGATCGCCTTCCTGCAGGAGATCCGCGATATACGCGCGGACTGCCCCGGGCCGTGGATGCTCTGCGGTGACTTTAACTTGATCTTACGCGATGAAGACAAGAATAACGGCAAATCGCCGCATGATGGGAAGATTCCGCCGCCTCGTCAACGACCTCGCGCTCAAGGAGGTATACCTCAATGGAAGACGATTCACGTGGTCCAATGAGCAAACTCCGCCCACCCTGGTGCACCTGGACCGCGTGTTTTGCACCGTGGACTGGGAGGACGCGCATGGTGACTGCCACTTGAGATGCCTCGCCTCCGTCGTGTCCGACCATTGCCCGCTCCTCCTCGATTGCGCGCCCACACATGTAGCGCCCCGGAGGTTCCACTTCGAGGATTTCTGGTTGCGGCTCGACGGATTCCACGACACGGTTGCCGCGGCTTGGGGATCGGTGCACGACCCGGACCCTTTCCGGCGTCTCATGCTGCGCCTTCAGAGCACTGCCCGCACACTGACGAGTTGGAGCGCCAAGTCCAAGGGTTGCATTCGTGACAAGATGGCCATCTCCCGCGAGCTCATATCGCGTTTTGACAAAGCCCAGGAAGACCGCACGCTCTCCCCCGCGGAAGATTGGCTGCGAAAACAGCTCAAGATCTCATACTTGGGGCTGGCTTCTCTCGAGCGCACGATCGCGAGGCAGCGAGCGCGGATCCCCACGCTCAAGGACGGCGATGCTAACACAGCCTTCTTCCACCGGCAATGTTCATTCCGCCGACAGAAGAATCACATATTCAGCCTTGTGGTCGAAGGACAAGCGATCACTGATCAGGAGGGAATGGCCCAAGCGGCCTTCACGTACTTTGACGATCTACTTGGCTCCTCCGCCGCTCGCAACCACATGCTGGATCTATCGCAGATCATCGAACCCCATGATCTAACTGACCTCGAGGCACCATTCAACCCGGAGGAGATTTGGGACGCCGTCAAGCGCCTCCCGGCCCGCAAAGCGCCGGGGCCGGACGGATTTACCGCGGAATTCTTGCGGGCCTGTTGGAGCATCATCAAGCAGGACTTCTTCGACGTCTTCCAGCAGCTCTTTGAGCTGCGCGGTCGTGGATTCAGCAAGCTCAACCAGGCCCTCTTGACATTACTCCCAAAGCGAGCAGATGCGTGCCAACTCCGTGACTACCGGCCAATATGCCTCATTCACCTTGTGGCGAAGATATTCGCGAAGGTGCTATCGCTCCGCCTAGCGCCCAGATTAGGAGACATGGTTAGCCGCAACCAGAACGCTTTCATCCCGGGGCGGAGCCTGCACGACAATTTTGTCCTCGTCAAGCAATCGATGAAGCTGCTGCACCAACTTGGGGCTTCGAGAGTGATGCTCAAGCTAGACCTAACGCGCGCCTTCGACTCCCTATCTTGGCCCTTCCTTTTCGAGGCCCTTGGCCAATACGGATTCGGACCTCGCTTCAGGGAGTGGCTCGCGATCTTGCTATCATCTTCGAGCACTCGGATCATGATCAATGGTGAGCCGGGACCGCCAGTTTGGCATCGCTGCGGGCTGCGCCAGGGCGACCCCGTATCCCCGCAGCTCTTCGTGCTCGCCGTGGACATCCTGGGGCGCCTGATCAGCCGCGCCCACGACGCCGTCATCTTGCAGCGGCTGCACCCCCGACGAGACATTCCGGCCATATCCCTGTACGCCGATGACGTGATGCTATTCTGCCACGCCACGCACAGCGACGTGGAGGCCGTCCGCGCGATCCTGGCCCTATTCAGTGAAGCAAGCGGCCTCCGCGTGACCCTCAATGGCGACCCCGAGGCGGATGCAACAATTGATCAGATGGGATGTGCGAAAGCGGGGCTGCCCATTACTTATCTTGGCATCCCGCTCATGCTACGCCGCCCCTCAGCTGCCCAACTACAACCCCTCGTCGACTCGGTGGCTGCTCGGCTCCCCGCATGGAAAGCATGGCTCATGAACAAAACCGGGCGGCTGGCTTTGGTCAAATCGGTGCTCACCGCGATTCCGATACATCAACTGCTCGCGTTCGCGCCGCCCAAGAAGACCTTGAGACAGCTCGAAAAGGTCCAGCGCGGCTTTTTGTGGGCTGGGCGCGCTGTTGCTAATGGCGGACACTGCCACGTCAACCGGCGACGTGTGTGCCGCCCGCTCGAGTACGGCGGCCTCAGGGTCCAGGACCTGGAGCGTGCTGGCCTCGCGCTGCGCCTGCGCTGGATGTGGTTCTCCCACACGGACGACGAGCGCGCATGGCGAGGCCTCGACCTCCAGTTTTCCCGCGAGGAGCGCGCATTGTTCTTCGCATCGACGACAATGGAGCTTGGCGATGGACTGACGGCACTGTTTTGGGATGACCGATGGCTCAACGGTCAGTCCATGCGTGAACTCGCACCGGCACTCTACCAATGCATCCCCAAACGGCGACGCAAGTCAAGAACGGTGGCCGCAGGCCTAGCGGGCAACGCTTGGGCTCGTGACATTCAAGGAGTGATAGGGATCCATGAGATTGGCCAATATCTCAGACTTTGGCAAGCCGTGCAGCACATCAGCCTATCAAACCGGCCTGACCGAATGCTCTGGAGATGGGCGGCTAGTGGCACCTATTCGGCACGGTCTTGCTACGCTGCAACCTTCCACGGGTCCATGAAATGCCCCTCCTGGAAGCTTACCTGGAAGAGCTGGGCACCGCGCCGCGTCCATTTCTTTCACTGGTTGGCTAGCCGGGACCGGTGTTGGACGGCGGATCGACTCGCCCGTCGCGGCCTGCAGCACCATCCACGATGCCTCCTCTGTGATCAGGCCCCAGAGTTGATGTGGCACCTGCTCCTAGAATGCCCGTTTACGCGGCAAACCTGGCACGACGTGCTGGCTTGGGCGAGGATACCTTCACAACCGCCAAGCAATGAGCCCACCCTCACGGACTGGTGGCAATGAACGAAAGGGCAGACCCCACATGCGTTACGGAAAGGCCTGCAATCCATCGCCATGCTCGTCCCTTGGATGATCTGGAAACAGCGCAATGAGTGCGTCTTCGAGAATGTGCGCCCCTCGGTTACCACACTCGTAGATAGGATTAAGGCCGAAGCCAAATGTTGGGCACAAGCTGGCGCATTGGGTCTCAGGGTAGTCCTTCCCACTAACTGGGATGTTCACTGATAGGGTGCTAACCCATGTAACCACCACCTCCTAGGAGGATTGTATCTTCTCATCTTTCCAATGAAATGAAACGCAAAGAGTCCTTTGCGTTTTCTCGAAAAAAAAATAAACCACAGAAATGCTTAAAAACTGACCCCAGATTCTTAAGATTTCCCAGCGAACGCCCAGAATTGCCATGCGAAAACAGATAAAATTGCCATGATGTTGCAAGGGATTTGCCATGCTCTAAAGCAAAAATTACCATGTGGTACAAAAAATAGAAAAACTGCCACGCTGCGCAGTGTAATTGACATGCGTTCAATCTGTATCTGCGGGTCCTAAGGGCGTTCGCTGGGATTGCTTAGAAAACTGACGTTCGCTGGTTAGTGGTGTCCATAAACTAACTCATCTCTATCACACGCCATCCTTAATGGGCATAAATGTTCTTCCAACCGGCCACAGGGCCCATGCCCATCTGACCTTAACATGCCGAAAGTCCAGTACAAACCTACTTACGAGTGGTTGAGAAAGTTCTCACCAGAGAACAATTATATGCGACCTCATGTGCTCCATCTATTGAGTTAACCTTTATAGTACCCTTTGGGAATCTTGATGTCATGATTGATATATTCATAAAGCATAACTTACGCAGTTCTCTAACAGGCCGTGTATTCTAGTACAGATGGGTTAAGTAGATTTAGAGTAGAGGAAAACTGGGAATGCAATGTCTTGGTTGGATGGTATTTGTTTCCAGTCTGGACTTTGGCCTGTGAAATCATGTCCTTTGGCTGTTTTTCTGTTCAGCCCGTACACTGTAAAATCTCCCTGGCCCACCCTCCATGACCTCTTAATAGTGTTTACGGCCATCACAATTGTGGGCCTTATCAGCAAAATCACGTTCTTGCGATGTTTGAGCTAAAGCCGAAAAAATGTGTGTCGCATAACAAGTTTTTCCTGTTTGAAATACTTCTAATACATCATTGGCCATGACCACTGGACTGTCTTGCTTCAGTTTTTGGACTTCTGGCTTTCATTCATGGCTGTTGTTGGTACATTCATATATATGGCTACAATTAAAGAAGCTTCAAAGCGAGCAATGCATACTGCTGTGTTTATTCTGACAGCTATTTTAGCTGCAACTGGTGCCACCAGGTATGGAAGTCACTGCTTAGTTTCTTTGATCAAGTATCATGGACACTGGGTGCATCAATGTATGATAGTTACCATCTCAGATCTGCCAATATTGGTATCGTCGTTGCTATTGGTTCATTTGGCCTGCTTATTGGATGGATATTGGAATTCTCTACCGCACGAAGATTTGTATGCTGCTCGTGGCGAATTAACCTCAATGTGCCCCATAGGTGTGCTTGCATTCATAGTTTCATGAATATATGTCAGCAGCTAATTTGTGTATCCTCTGTATCTTAATTTCACATGCACACATCACGCTAACACTGTTGTGTTTAGGTTATAGCAATCACGTCTCCATTATTTCCTTTGGTTGGCTGATGCATTTTTCCTATTGCTGTTCTTTCTTACAGATGGCCAAACCTCGCGGCTTTGTTCTGGAATACTCTGGAGATGCTGAACAAGCGGTTCCGTTGGCTGTATTTACTTTTTGGTTTCATCACATTATCTTTTGCAGCTTTAAGCTGGAAGCTAGAATCAAATAGTAGCTATTGGATTTGGCACAGGTATGGAATCATTTCTTCAGTATTGAAAATGCTACATCATGTATTTTTTGTACAAGTTGTACTAAAGCTGCGACGAGTAATATGGATTGGTGGCAGTACTAAGTTTTGCAAGAGCACATTTTATAGCATGATGTATATCATCTTGAAGCACAAAAAATACATTTTGAATATAGAGCGAACGCACTCAGTTGAAGAAAGTCTGCTTTTGTACCAGCACATTTGATGTATATTCTTATCCTTACTATGAACGAACTAAGGTGAAAATTGTTTTCTCTGCAGTATGTGGCACATAACTATCTACACATCTTCATTCTTCTTCTTATGTTCAATGCGTGTCAACACTACGAATCATAGTCCGGAGACAACCTATGAGTTGACAAGGCAAGATACCTTGCCAACGACAGAGTCAAGTCAGACCTAAGGAATATCGGGAGAACTGTACTCCATACCTTCTGGTGGTAAACTAGAGATCCATGGACAAAGGTCTTATCTTACTACAGCGAAGAGCTTGATACCAGATTCTTTCTGGCAGGATATGCATGTGCAAGCCTCATTATACCGTAAATTTGCACGTATATATATATATGGCTTCCTTGCAATTTGGGATGTAACGCACAGTTATTTGAGGGATATCGGGACTACACATGTAAATTGGTTGTCACCTGCATCACATAATAATTGTAGATAGCATGGTGCAGGGAAAACATTGATTAGGAACTAGGCAGATCACTCGATTGGGTGTCACAGCTAGTCGGATGATATAGGTGGAAAACAAGTAGGGAAGGTTACCCAGGTTCATGCACTCTCGGTGGATGTAAAACTCTACTTCATGCTTGATTGTATTGATAGATGGGGTGTACAAAGTACAGGGATGATCTTGGGGTGTGTTTGATTGGCGAACCAAATGCATTGTAATGAAATGGTTCCATTCCAGTGGAACGGGTCAGTTTCATTCTAGTGTTTGGTAGTAGGCAAAAAGTACAATGGGTTGGTTTCGCTCCTGTATTTGGTTAAAGAGTTGTAATGAAAAGTAGAAAGCATAAAATTTGAATTTTTGTTTGTATTTTCAAGACAAATAATGTAATGTTAGCTTGTCCCAAATTAATTGTCTTGGATTTGTGTAGACATGGATGTATCTAACACTATTTGTATTTAGACAAATTTAAGACAATTAATTCGGGACAAAGGGAATATATACGTTGACAAGCATGACACGTTATGGGAACGTTGCATGAAAAACAAACAAAAAATCCTATGAAACACCTAAGATTTGATCTATGAAGATGCTAGTGTCACGTTCAATATGCAATCCTATCCGAGAGGAACTCGAAGGTCCTACCAAGGATAGTCACATATTGAAACGCTTTTGCAAGGTGGATATCATTACATCGTGCCATTATATAATAGTTGGGAATATATACAAGGCATACATACGTCACATGAATACATCAAAAACTCATACATGAGAATTGAGAAGAACATTTAACTATGGATGAAATACAAACAAAAACTCAAACGACATCCGTCTTGCTAGCCCAGGCTGCTGACCAGGAATCTAACCCAAGACCGATGAAGAAGAAGAACACTTCAAAACAAGTAAACATCGCTTTCACGTCATGATCATCGCATTACCTGTACCTGCAACTGTTGTTGTAGTAATGTGTGAGTCACGAGGGCTCAACAATCCAATTACCATGGGTATCAAGACTAGCAAAACTTAATGGGTATGGAATGGATAAGTGGTGAGGTTGCAGGAGCGCTAAGCATTGTTTGGTGGCTAACTTACGAATACAAGAGTAAGATGAGAAAGTACGCAAACGGTCGTAAACTAGTAATGATCAAGAAGTGATCTTGAACTACTTACGTTCAAATATAACCCCATCGTGTTCTCTTCTTGAACTCACTTGAAAAGAAACGATCGCGGTTACGCACGTGGTTGGTGTATTTTAATTGAGTTTAGTTCAAGTCCACTACAACCAGATATTAAAAATTTCCATCTGCCACATAATCGTGGGCACGACCCTCGAAAGTTTAAACCCTGCAGGGGTGTCCCAATTTAGCCCATGACAAGCTCACGATCCGCGGAGACAACCCTCCATCTCGGGACCCTCCGATCAGACTCGGAATCCCGGTGCACAAGACATTTTAACAATGGTAAAACAAGTCCAGCAAGACCTCCCGGTGTGCCGACACTTTGATAGTAGCCGCACGTATCTCGTCTCAAGCCATGACCGGATGAACACTACGTACAGCAGCCGAAAACCCCAGGTGAAGGGGTGGCACCGCAAGTGGCTCTGTTTTGGGACCAACACCATCAGCACCGCCCCCTTGTATTATGTGGAATTAAGAATCCTCATGTTGATGATGCCCTATGCCAGTTAATTATTTAATTCAATATTATTATGTTGGCAAATGTTAAAATCGATGTTGGGCCTTGCCGGAAGAGTTTTATTCAAAGCGAACTGTCAAGAGGGGCTCATAAACCCTCGCCGTGTTAGGGACGCAAAATCAAGGAACATAACACCGGTATGACGGAAACTAGGGCGGCAAGAGTGGAACAAAACACCAGGCAAAAGGCCGAGTCTTCCATCCTTTATCAAGTATATAGATGCATTAATTAAATAAGAGATATTGTGATATCCCATGATATCCATGTCTCAACATGGAACAACCTGCAACTAGCAACGCTATAAGAGGGGTTGAGAAAAGTGGTAACATAGCCAAACAACGGTTTGCTGGGGCGGTGGAAAAGGTTAGAGGTTGTTTCATGGCATATAGGGAGGCTTGTTAACAAGTGGTAGGTAGCGTGACATAGCGGTAGCATCAAGACAACTAGCATAGGAAAGATAGTAGTGAGATCCAAGGTAATGATCATCTTACCTGAAATCCCACTAGGAAGAAGATCGCGTCCATGAAGAAGACGAACCCACGTAGTCGAACGAATCCTCACGATCGCAACAAAACAGGAACTATCGAGAAGAATCACAACCGGAAAGAAGCAAACAACATGGTAAACACACAACACAAAACATGACAAGATGCTCAACCAAGTATGATGAATGACAAGGCTATATGATGCTACTCATGGCAAGAAATGATGCATACAAGAACAACACATCAAAGCAAGTTTAAATGAGGCCGAAATCAACATGTAACACTTTTGGAAACTCCCCATATGCAAATTTTGAGATTGGTCCAGATCTGAATAACACATAATGTTGAAGTTGTTAAACAACAAGTTAAAGTGCACCATGATGATCTACGCGTCTTTCTAGTCAAGTTACATACAAAGTTCATTTAATTTGGAGCTACGGCCTAGAAGATATGAGCAAAACAAGTTAAACATGGCATTGTTGCAAATGCAAGCAAAACACAATCACAAACACTCTAAAACATGGATGCAACATGGCATGATGAGACTACATGCAAAACCAAGAAAGTTACGTATAGAGCATGCTCCAAACGGAGCCACAGTTCAACACAAACACACGAAACAAGCTTAAAGGACAAGCTGTCCAAAACAGCAACTAGGCATCTTACAAGCATCATAACAACATGCTACAAGAACAAGATAGGCACAAACATGATATGCACTTAAAGTACAGATTACATGCTTCAATTATCATCAAGGTTCAGGTTCATAGGCATCAAGATTAATCCAACATGATCAATGCAACAAGCCACTTTATAACACAAATTATGACTTGGTGAAAAACTGGACTTACGTGTGAGCAGGAATAACATGTTGACATGTTGGAGGCATGGAACGATGAGGCTACAGTGAAAGAACATAACAAGAAAAAGCATGGCATTAAATTAAAGGTTAAACCTGGCAAAAAATGATTACTACGCATCTCCATATAACCTCTAGATCAATGACATTCATCAAGACAAGATTGCAAGTTATAACAGATTCTCAGACTTGGTGAAAAACAGAGTAAGGCTAAAAACAGATTCACGATGCACACTTTGAGACAACAAAAGTATATGCTACAGGAACATTTTATGGCATCAAAGAGCATGAAAAGCATGTACATGTCAAGCACTACAAAACATGAACAATGAGATATTGCTAGAAAACACTAGAACATGATCAAAACATCATGGCAAGATTGCAAATGATAACAGTTTCATAGACTTGGTGGAATTTACTGGACATGGCAGAAACAGCGATAAGTAGGCACTCGTTTACAAGATTGTGCAACTCACCACAAATCATATCATGGCATATGAATGTAACCAATAGCAAGAATACATAATTATGCAGCTACTCATGGCAAGAGCATGGTCATAGGATGCACATATCACTAGCCATTCACATGAAAAAATGAACTTACTATTAACAGACTGACAACAACATTATTTAGCAAATTGAGAGCATAGTGATGACAAGCTACAATACCCCATAATTGCAAACAAGGGCATTTATGGATAAAGCATAACAAAATCTACAAAACATCCTTACTGAGCATCTCCAGATTATGCATGGATTCACTAGTAGCATCAAGTTAACATGGCAACATAATATAGCAGGTTCAGACTTGGCAGAAATCATCGTCGCTGAAATCAGTAACAACAAGTGCTCTACTTTGCAAGCTTGTGCTAGTCACCACAGGGCACATCAAAATACATGGATTGCACCACTATAAATATGGCATGAATGTGCTCTTAAAACATGTTGACATGGTGCTCAAAAGAAAATAATACAAAATGATATGGAAAAGAAAAATAGGCAAGTTACAACAATCTTTAGGAGGTTATATCATTGCACTTTTGCAACAAGGATTAAGGCATGAATATAAATAGTAAAATGCATGCAGACAACACCATCATCTAGAGCGTTCAAAGATGAACATTTGTACATATTATGCACGCAAAACGGAGCAACATGCACAAAGTTACAAGCAATCAAAGATGCACACATAATGTTGAGAATCAGGGGCTTGGAAGAATTTCAACCTCGCGGAAAAGTGGACGAGGAGGTGTGGGACGAGGAGATCCGGGACGGAGACGACCATTTGTATCGGGAACCGGTGGATTTGGTCCACCTGACTAGATCTCGCCGGAGATGACGACGTGGCGGCGGCGGTGAGCCGAGGCGGCGGCTGCGAGCGGCGGCGGGGCGGCTGGCGCGGGCGCAGGCGGCGGAGGGCGCGCGGACCAGGAGGGCCGCGGATGGGCTCGCGGGCCCACACGGTGCAACACGGTGGAGACGGCGGCGGGGGTGACGTGGCGGCGGTTGTACCTGTCCGGTTGCCCGACAGACGTGTCTGGTGGCGGGAGGAGGAGGGAGGCTTGGGTTTGCCCGTGATTTGAGGAGGGGGAGGCTAATTTATAGGTAGAGGGAGCTAGGAGAGGGCTATTGAGGTGCGGTTTTCGCCCACACGATCGTGGTCCAACGACGAAGAGCATGGATGGGGT